TCTAGGCCACATACGTTCTCATCGTGTATGTCTCCCGCTGAATTAATCTGTATAGTTGTTTTAGTTGGCTAGTTAGCCGCTTTGTAATATGCTTTTTTAATATATTTGTCAGTTCAAAAAAAAAAGTTCTGTATTTTTTTTTATATGAATGAATAATATATTTTAATGGGAGTCAATGTGTTCTTTTTATAAAAAACTTTGTCATATTGAAAGTGAGCAAAATCAGACAAATAAAATATTCTCTCTCATGGGAGCCAACGATTCTCCCGTTAGGAGGGTTCTTTGATTCTTGAATCAATTGATTCAATTGCCATCATTCTCTTGTTGAGAGAAGCTTGAATTCGGGATTTTTCCCTTGTGCTCATATCTTAATTTCCGTCTCTCTCTTTCAATTAGGGTTTTGCTTTTTTATTCTTCTTTTTCTGTTATCTTTTTCGGGCTTGCTCATGGCCAAGAATCAACATTCTGCTGAATTGACTGATGATATTGAGAAGAAGCTAAGGAATATTGAGTTAGAAGGGGCTGAGAGTGGTTTGGTTGAGCTTAGGGTGGAGGACATCGAATCAAGTGCCGAGGAATGCGATCGCAGCTTATTTGGGCGAGTAATTGGCGACAGGAAAGCCACTCTCTTGGGCGTGAAACGTACAATGAGTGCTATCTGGCAGATCAAGCAGCCAGTTGAAGTTCGGGAACTTAGCCATAATTATTTCCAATTTATTTTTGGAAACGATGACGATAAGAAAAAGGTGGCCTCTGGAGTTAATTGGATTTTTGAAAACCAATACCTTATATTAAAGGAATGTGAGGATGGTTTGCGAGCTAGTCATAAGAAGTTCAATGAACTCGAACTTTGGGTGCAAGTGAGCAATGTCCCCCTCAACTGGCTTAGCGCACCGGTGGGACTCAAGATTGGTAAGATTTTTAAGAAGGTCAGGAATGTGTCCGTGATTAAAGCCTCGGAGGGAAGAGGTAGCTACATTCGCCTCCTTATCATGGTGGATGTAAATGAGCCTCTGCCAAGGTGTGTTAACATGAAGCTTAATGATAACCAGGTACTCATCAGATTCCAGTATGAGAGATTAGTGAATCTCTGTTATTATTGTGGCAAGTTGGGTCATCTTGATAAAATGTGCAACAAGAGGCTTGTGGATATTGAAAGAGGATGCTTAAAAGAGGGCCAATATGGAGATTGGTTAAGGGCACCTGATATTGCAAGCAGTGCTAGGTATAGCTTTTCCAACAGTTTTTATAAGTCTGACTCTCCTTCGCCAAGGCCAGAATCAAATGGGCCAGTTGGTCTCTCCAGCAAAGATAGTGTGGCACCTGATTAAAGCCAAGACACCAGTAAGAAGCCGGTTAATGGAGCAGAATTAGCCATTCACCCAAAAATTACAGAGGGAGGTACATTTGAGGAGGGTTCACCTAGTTTAAGCAAAGGAATTACAAACACTCAAGACCTTAAGCAACTTGACAATATTCCCATGATCATTGAAGGTGACCAGCCAGGTGATATCATTCTCATTGATAGCAACCAGGATAAGACTTTTGAAAACCAAGCACCTCTAGTGCTACCACAAGATAAAGGAGAGGAAGCCCCAAAACTCAGGGGATGGAAAAGGGCAAATGAACAAACTGGAAGGAACCTGAGAAATTCTCCTTCTAAGGCAGCAGAGGTCAATCAGGAGCCTCTTAAAAGATCCAGGTCTTTAATGTCTGAGCACAAAAAAGAGGATGAGACAGATGATGCCACAACCAACAAAAAAATCAAAGTCATGAATGCTAAGGTGGAGGAAGCCAGCCTCAAATGGCCCCAATCCAATAAATGAAGATGATCATGTGGAACTGTAGAGGTTTGGGTGGGCCCTCTACAGTTTCACAGCTTAAGGATTCTTTAAAGATCCACCACCCTAGCTTCATTTTTCTTTCTGAATCCAAAAAACAAAAAGATTTTGTTAGAACTGTGTGTAATAGCTTAGGTTTTAAGGATAGATGGGTTACTGCTGATCCTATTGGGATTAGTGGAGGCCTAGTTTTGCTGTGGGACAAAAATCAAAAAATCTTGCAGATTATTTCCCATTCTTTTTGCTTTGAAGTGGAAGTGGAAAATTCAGATGGCAATGGCTCTGCTTGGTTCATTTTTGTATATCTAAGTACTGATAAACATATCAGAAGGGAACAATGGGACTTTCTTTTGCAGGCCAAATCGAAGTGGGGGAAGGAGTGGATAATTGGGGGAGATTGGAATGCTATTGTGGACAATAGTGAGAAAAGGGGTGGTAGAGACAAAAACCAGGAAGACATGTCAGAATTCAAAAATTTTATTGCTCAGATGGAGATGATGGAAGTGCAGATGATTGGGCACCAGTACACTTGGTCCAACAACAGAACTCAGGAGCATTTTATCGAAGAAAAATTAGATCGAGTGTTTGGCTCCTTCCACTGGTCTAATAAGTTCTCTAATGCATCTTTTAGCAACTGCTTCAGATCATCGTCTAATCACAGCCTTTTGGTGCTTAGCAACAACTCTTCCAACCAACATCACAGGAAGCCTAGGTTCCATTTTGACAAACGGTGGGTCTCCAAACCTGATGTGAAAGATGTTATTCAGCAAACATGGACTCCTTTTTGCTCCGGCACCCCTATGTTCAGATTTCAAGAAAAGCTCAAGAAATCCAGAATTGCTTTGCTTAAGTGGAGCCAAGCTTTTAATCAGATAATGCTAAAAACATTGAGAAACTGTCTCTCCAATTGGAGGAAATGAGGCTCCAAAGTCAGGGGAAGAACTAGGAAAGCTGGGAAAAGATCAAAAAAGAGCTTGATGAGGCTATGTGTGCAGAAGAAGTTTTCTGGAAGCAAAAATCCAGAAATATGTGGCTCAAGGAGGGTGATCAGAACACAAAATTCTTTCATGCATTAACAATGCAGAGAAGAAAAACTAATGCGATTACAAGGCTGGTTGCTGAAGGAGGGAGTATGTGTGAAACTAAAGCTGAAATAGAAGCTGAAATGACCAGGTTTTACAAGAAATTATTCACCACAGAGGGCTCCACTGATGATGTGGATATACTCCAGCTCATTCCTAATGTCATCTCAAATTCCAAAAATCTGGAATTAATTGCACCAGTTCTTGAAGATGAGATTAAGTCTGCATTATTCGGGATGAACCCAGAAAAAGCACCTGGTATCTCTGGTATGTCTCCGCTTTTTTTTCAGCACTTTTGGCCAATCATCAAGAGTGATCTGTGTGAAGCTGTGGTCAGTTTCTTTGACTCTAATATGCTGTTGAAAAGTTGGAACCACACCGTTATTACTTTGATTCCCAAAAGCATTAATCCTTCCAACCTTAGTGATTTTCGGCCTATCAGTCTTTGTGAAGTTGCTTACAAGATTATTACTAAGATACTTGCTAGCAGATTGAAGCCTCTTCTTCACTTATGTGTAAGTGAGAATCAGGCCGCATATATTCCAGGCAGACAGCTCCTTGATAATGTAATAATGGCACATGAGGTCATCCATTACCTCAATAGGCACAGAACTGGGAAGAGAGGTTTTTTGGCTATCAAACTCGATATGGTGAAAGCCTATGACAGACTTGAGTGGAGCTGTTTACAGAAAATTTTGTTAAAGTTTGGGTTTCACTGGAGGTTTGTGAGATGGATTATGGTGTGTGTTTCTTCTGCATCTTTCTCACTGAATCTGAATGGAGACATTTGTGGTTTTTTTCATGCTTCTAGGGGCATCAGGCAAGGGGATCCCCTATCCCCTTACCTCTTCATCCTGATCTCTGAACTGTTTTCTAAGCTTATCAACAGGGAAGTTAGTAGAGGCACTCTTAAAGGGGTTCGATTGTCTAGAAATGGTATTCAGTTGTCTCATCTGCTTTTTGCAGACGATTCACTTCTTTTCTGTGGAGCTGATCATGATTCCATATCTGTTGTGCTGAAGGTGCTTGATATCTATCATAAATATACTGGGCAGAAAGTCAATTTCTTGAAATATTCTATCTTTTTTAGTAAGAATGTGTCTGATGTGCTTCAAGCTGAAATATGTACCTTGCTCTATGGCATTCATGCTCACAGATCATCAAAGTATCTTGGATTGTCTTTGGGGATAGGGAAGTCTAAGAAGCAGACTTTTGAATATGTCATCAAAGCTGTCAAAGATAGAGTATCAAATTGGAAGAACAACTTCCTTTCTCCAGCTGGCAAAGAAGTCTTAATCAACTATGTTCTTAATGCGTTGCCTATTTTCACCATGTCCTGCTTTGCTTTACCTCTGAATGTTTGTCAGGAGATTACTAAAATCTGTGCGCATTTCTGGTGGAAAAATGGTGATGAAAATTCCTCTGGAATACATTGGAAGAGTGCAGCTGGTTACTATGCCCAAGGTGTATGGTGGTCTGGGATTTCACGATTTGCAACTTTTTAATGATGCTCTCATTCTAAAGCAGATCTGGAGAATAATTACTTTGCCAAACCTCTTGGTTAGCAAGTTTCTGAAGAGTAAGTATTTCCCAAATGGTTCCATTCTTAAAGCTGTTCCTTCTCAAAATGCATCATGGTTGTGGTCTACATGGATGGCTGTGAGAGATAGGCATAAAGGCTGCTTCAGAATTCAGGTTAATGATGGGCTCAGCACCAAAATTTGGGATGATCCTTGGCTTTGCACAGGTTCTTCAGGTAGGCCTCAAAGGCCAGCTTTCAACACTCATGGTATTACCTGGGTTAGTGAACTGATGGAGAATGGGGGTAGAAAATGGAATGTTGGTTTAGTCAAGCAGATGTTTAATGAGGAAGACAACTCTAATATTCTGAAGATTAAACCTCTTGAACCTACCAAGAAAGACAGGTGGATCTGGATTCACAATGCCAAGGGAGAATTTTCAGTTGCTAATGCATATTCAAAATTGGTGGAACAAAAGTTCAGAGTGCTTGATATAGCTGAGGGCAGCAAGTCTGGTGGGAAAATCAGGAAAGTTAGAAGCCGAACATGGAAGCTTAAAGTTATGGGAAAACTAAAGCATTTTCTTTGGAAATGCTTTTCAGAAGCCATTCCAGTTAAAGCTGCTTTGAGGAAATGGGGGATGTTTGTGGATGGAATATGCCAGTCTTGTGGAGAGGACGTGGAAACTTGTGAGCACCTGTTTTTCCACTGTCGAAGAGCCAAAGAAATCTGGAAGATTGCTCCTGAGCAATGGGAATTTCCTACTGATCCTTCCATCAAATTCAGATCATGGTGGGGAGATATCTGCTCTCTAAATAAGTTGGAAGTCTCTGAAGCTCGCATTGAACTAACCACGTATCTTCTTTGGTGGTTATGGAAAGCGCGTAACCTTTGGGTATTTAGAAAAGAATGGATGCCGGCTCAGGTTGTCATTAAAATGGCTACAGGGAGTTGGCAAGAATATACCAAGAGGAGCTGCAGCTAAGCTTTAGGAAATTTGGAGAGATGTCTAGGTCCTTGAGGTGCAGTGGGCTCTCTGCATGATTTCTTAGAGCTGTTTTGTTATTTTATGACTTTTGCGGTGTGTAGCTTCTTCTGTTAGTTAGTTTTCTTCTGGGGTGGCTCTCTCTTTTTTGTTTGGGCTTGCAGTGTAGGTTTTTGGGGAGTACTAAGGGTGACAGTTATGTGCTGGCCTTAGTATGTGCTCAAAAATCAGTTTGTTGCTTAGGGCAGTTTAATGTTTGTTATTTAGAGTACCAGGGTGTTGGTAGCTCTCCCATTTGATTAGAGTCAGTTGGCTCTCGATTTGTAAGTTTGTACATGTTGTGCTTTTATATATTCTACTGTTTCGAAAAAAAAAAAAAAAAATGTGTTCTTTTTATTGTATCATTTTATTTTAATAGGTACTTATTTTTCTTTTCAAGTGTATGAACTATCGAATATCCGATTTTATTACATATTTTTTCAATCGAATATCCTTTTGAGATTGAGCATGAGTATGTGAATATATTAATGGTTGAAGGAGAATTAGTTTTTTATGTAACAAATTATATTTATATTTTGAGTTCCAGAGTAAAATAGAAATATTTTAGAAAAACAAAAATATATTTTAGAATACAAGACTGTACTATCAAAAACTAAAGTGCAGGATATAACTACTCTGGTTTGATATCCTCTTTCTGCTTAAGATTCCTCAACACAAAAAGTGTTTGGAATTCAAAGAGATCTAACACTATCAATCCCAATTTCCCACAAACCAACACAATTTCCCTTTTATACACCACAAGTAGCACAAAAAGAAAATAAAAATATAATCTTGACTATTTTTCATGTTCAATCGAACTCTTACTTCCGGAGAAAAACTTCACGAAAGCCGTTTTGTGTTCTTGGCAATAAATCCTCGTCGCCATTTTCAAAACGAGTACGATTCTCCATCGACATTGAACAATCCAAATCTCACCATTATGTGATCATGACAAGAGCTTCTTTCGAATGTTGATCTCTATGCGTTGCCTCCATTGGGTGTGTTTGATGCGTCGATCAAGAAATCCTCCAATGTTGCAAGAGACTCTAGCTGTTTTCCTAAAGATGCAATCGTTTTTTGGCACTTGGCAAGCTTATCAGCAGCTACAGCTATATCCTCCTGCAAATGTATTAAAAAGTTTGCCGTATAAATTTTTCTCTTCGACTCACCAAAAACCTTGGAAATGAAAATGGAATAGTTAAAGCAAGGTAAAAGACTTAAACCCGAACCTGCTTTACTTTTGGTTCAACATTCAATTCGACTCTTCTGGTTAGTTCATTCTCCAATTCTCGACATTTGGCTCTCAGTTCACCCGATAATTTCTTTTCCCCTTCAATCTTGGCTTTTAGCGACCCAACTTTAACTGAATGTGTCCTAGCTTCAACTTCCATACCAACGAGCTGAAACTCGAGCAACTCTTTCGTCTCATTCACAGCCTTTAACTCCTTTTCCACTTCCTTCAATTTACTCTCTGCACCTTTCAAAGAATCCAAACTCTCGTCCAAAGCATTCCGAAGTTCCAACTTTTCCATTTCTACCCTCTTTAGCTCGTTTTCCAGTTCCTCCACACGTTTACTCATTGAGTCGAGCTCGTCCCTCAAAGAAATAGAATCCGCATTCGAAAAGGGCTCGTCTTTCTGTTCGGGCCCAGGCAAGGATGCGAGACGTTCCATTTCGAGAAAATCGTCCATCATATCGATTTTTACAGCTAAATTCTTGGGCGAGTGTTTTTCGTTCTTGAGCAGCTCGAAATCCAAGCAGTTTTGTTCGGATGTGCTGCTACTCTTGCAACTGTCGGTTAGGGACTCCGCATAAAAAAAAGATTTGTGATTGTGATTGTTCAGAGGAGTTGATTTTCGAGCTACGGTCGATTGGATTTTCCTGCACTCAGCCTCGAGCCTAGCGATCTTTTTGATGCTCTCTAATTGCGATTTGCTGGCCGACTCGGCTGCTTGAGTGCTCAAATCCCTCTCGATTGTGACGATTTCTAACTCCTTTAGGCACGACTCGAGTTTTTGTCCAAGGGATGTGTTTTCTCTCTCTAGAGACTCGATAATGAGGAGAGTTTCAGGATCTTGAGAGCCCGATTTGTCTTGGAGATCGAAAATTTGCCTCTCGAGCTCAGCCTTTTGTGACTCCCACTCGGTGCTTTTTTCACGAATGGCGTTCGAAATTCTTTTTTCGTGCTCGTCTTTTGACTGTCTCAATTGGCGTACGCATTCTTTGAGGGCCACGTCGAGATGGTTTGCACGCGCCTCAAGGTTCACGTTTTGCTGCAATGCGGCCTCGAGCTGCTGCTTTAGTGACGCCACTTCATTTTCTGCTTTTTCCCAACCTATTGAAAATTAAAATGAGAAAAAAATAAAAATAAAAATAAAAACCGTTTGACAATTTCAGATAAGAAACTGCGAAAATGAATTTTACCGGCCACAGCTTCTTCGGCAACTTTAGCGTGCTGCTTAACTAAGTCTTCTTTTGTGCTAATGTTAACAAGAGCTGCTGATAGCTTCTGTGTTAGGCTCTTGACAGTTTCGTTCACTTCTTCATCGTCCATTGATGGAGCTTTTGAGGTCACTTCTGGCGAGTGCGGATTATTATCATTCGGAGGCTGTTCTTCTCTCAATACTTCCTGAACAAAAAGGGGAAAAAAAGGGAAAGAAAAAGTCAAACAAGACATTAAATGCAAATTAATAGAAAACCATCCCTAAGATGGACTTTTTGCCATTACACTGCACACAGAAGAAAAAAAAAAAGCAAATCTTGAATAATATGAACATTTATACTTTGTTAAATTATAAAGCCAGTATAAAAAAGGAAGAAATCATCTCGTGCTTCAATAACCGAACAAACTCGAGCATTGGTGGATGCCAAATTCATCGATTCACCTAATGAAACCAGATGACATCAAGTACAAAAGAACTAACTTGAATTACTTGCATGGTAAACCAACCGAATGAACAGGTAAAACGAACGTAAAATCAACAAAAACTAATTTAGACCGAGAAATGTTGACTTAAAAGCAAGTGAGGTTCAACATAACCAAACCTGTTCATCAGAGTATCTCTCCGAGTGCGAAGAAAATGATCCCGAGCTTTCGCTCTCCCCGGGACTCCTTTCAGACAACTTCTTCTTCCACGGCCATTTCCTCTTTTCCATCTTGATTTTCAATTTGAATTATCCATGAATTGCATATCACTTACAAAAATATGCTCTGCAACTGTATTTGTACCTGTACACTCAGTATAGCAATATCACTAGAAAGCAAATAACAGAATAAAGTCATAGCAAAAATTAAGGAAAATGGCCACCAAAACCAAACCGTGGCAATAACCAAACCGTAAATAGATGGAGCCTCGGAATTGATCCAAGCTCGACTCTAGAGTCTTTCAGTTATACATTACTCCCCTCCCGAAAAAATCCCAATTTTCCCCAGCTCATACTTAACAACTATATGCATAAGTACCAACAAAAGAAACAGAAACAGAATGAATTCATCCAATACTTTAAAGAAATCACTTACAATCTTTGCTTCTAATCCAACCCACTACCTATCCAACATACATAAAAGTGTTATTTTCTTACTTTGCAAGAACCAATCAAAAGAAAAAAGGTGAAAAAAAAAAGAACTTCTGGTAATTCGATCCTGCCCCCACCGGGTTTTTTTACCGTTGGATCACACACAATCGAAGACAAACCCACATGACTGTACAAAAAATCCGATGAGGGCACGGGTAGGATCGAGTTTTTCACTAGCAAAGTTTCAATTTTTGACCTACAAAACACATCAACGCCAAAGGCAGCAACACAAAAACAGCAGAAGTGCGAAAAAATATATCAGACAAGCACTTAATAATTCCAACCCATATGGGGTCATCTTCTTCAGTAGCCAGACCATCACAATTTCCAAATCAAACCAACAAAATTGTACGAAAAGATCGAATCTTTCAGACAAAGAAACATAATAGCGGATAAAACAGTTGCTGAAAATACCTGGGATTAAGAAAATCAAGAAGCCCCAAATGCAAAGATCCAATCTTTGAGTCACCACACAACACTAATCATCTTTCAAATAAAAGGGTTGTAAACAAAAATGCGCAATCAGCTCACTTTCAGAGTAGAGATTCAATTTCCATTAAAAAAAATATATGTTTTGCATCATTAATAAATCATTGAGGAGCTGAGCATGTGAGAGATATGACTGTGGAGTGATGTTTTCAAATTGAATGAATAGACGACTTTTCAGCTTTTTCTCGATTTATTTTATTTGTTTTAACATTTTTCGAAATTTTGAAATTATTATGTTGTCTTATTCCCGCTCATCTGTCAGCACGCCAAACAGCTTTTTCAAGCAATTTATGAAAAAATGTGTAGTAATAAAGATTAAGAAATTAATAATTGTTGGGTCGGATTTTCAGATGATTTGCAAATCATAATTTATTTCTAAATAAATAATACAAAAAGGGGACGGCATTGGATGAAATTCTAAGTGGAAGCATTATTCACAAATGACGATTTGGATCATAATATACATGATGAAGAGCATAAATAACAACAGTGTTCTAGAAGTTCGAGCGCCCTTTAGGTCGAGGGTGCTCGACCAGCGCCTAGCGCCTAGCGCCTGGAGCGTGTAGGCAGGGCCTAGAAATTAAGATTAAATATTTTATTTTTTTATTTGTTTTTACTATCTACAAAATAAAATTATTTCAACTTATAATAAATCAATAAACTTAAGTTCAAATGATAATATTAATATATTATTAAAAAAACAAAATAATGTAATTCATATTTAAAAAAAATGAAAAATTGTCGACCGTCTAGGAGAACCTAGGCGCCGCCTAGCAGATTTTTTCAGTCAATTTATGCAAATCAGAGGTTGGGCAACGCCTAGTGCCTAGGCGGCGGCCTAGGCCGACTTTTTAGTACAGTGAATAATATGATATAGATTTATAAACTTTGTAATAAAAATCAAGTAGACCGCTTCAAAATAAAAGTCGGTTGTCATAACAAACAAGCGGACTAATTATATATGAGAAATGTTATATGTACATAATAATGCACATAAAGGTGTACATAACACTCACATTAAATCAAAAAGCATCTTTTTCGGATGAGCCCAACCGGAATTAAGCATACACAATCAACTGGGCTGCAACTATTGACTATGATTTGTTGCAGTCTTGTCATGCTAAAGACGGAAGTCACTTTAGAGGTGTAAGTAAGTCGAATTGAGCTCGAGCTCCTATTACTCATGTTCGGGCTCAGTCTTTCATCTAACCAAGTCGCTCCAATCGTTAACAAAATCAACTGATAAAACAAGTTTGAGTCCGACTCGCTTACCAATATTAACAAACCGAATTCGAGCCTTTACGAGTTGAGTTATAGAATTTGCATAAAAAAACTTATTTTCCAGTCTTAACAAGCTGAAATGAGCCGATCTCACAAGCAGTTCATTTTGTTAATAGCTCTAGTCACAAGTCGGGATCTGTACAAAATGTTGATGTGTGGCCCGCCTGCACACTGCAGTTGCACTGCAGCCAACGCACGCATGTCCTCCAAACGAGCTCTTGCCTCTTCGCTCGAGTCCTACATGTTACTAGCGAGCTTCCAATGGCAAGGCCCAATCCCCACGACCAGCTGTCGATAGTGCTCGGTTAGTACATGGTTCGCCCAAACGCTCGTCCGAACACGACTACTTAGAGTTCAACTATCTTTGCGCTACTAAAACTCAATATTCCTTGCACTAATTTAAGTTACTTATTAGTTGGAATTAGTTTTCATTAGTAGTCTTAAACCGTAAAATCGATACAAAATATTGTACGTGTATTGGTTTGTATTTCAAATCTCCACATGCATAACAAGACATTGATTGACACGTGGCATTCTTCTAGAGCCCATAAAATTCATCAAAACTACTATGGAATATACTTGGTACTTGCTAACATAACATCTCATCAAGACAAATAAACTAAATGCAAAAGTATGGGAACCTCGTGGCTATATTCTCCACCATCACAACTCATAAAAACCATATCTACATCACTCCCTATTTGTGTGACTCACAATCCCTCTCCAAGATTTCTTTGGATCCAAACTACCACATAACAATTTACTTCTTTAAAGTTCAAAAAACAATCACTTAAAACTTTATAATTCTCCACCACACACAAACACAAACACAAACACAAACACAAACGCAAACGAATGGCGCAAACGATGATGTTGCTAAGCCCGTTTTCTCAGTTCGTGTTGCCACCAAGAAATTGCAATCGCGTTTTTTCTTACTCGAACAAAAGTACCATTGTTGCTCTCTTCAAGTCGAAACCCAAGGTGCCTCCTAAGAAGCTGGTATCTTCTTCAAATATTTATGTTTATTGTGAAAGTGAAAATTTTCAACTTGTACAATGCATGTTTTTTCCACCTTTTTTAAATGTTTTCCAAAACTTGTGAATCAAAAAAATGTAACAAAAATCAATGTCATTTCATATATATATTTTTTTTCATTTTTCTTTTATATTTTTTTGGGTTGAAAAAATGAAATAATAATATGGTTGTTGAATTATATATTTTGATAGGCTACACCAGTGAAGAAGGAGAAGCCAAAGGTTGAAGATGGCATATTTGGGACATCAGGTGGAATTGGTTTCACTAAGCAAAATGAACTATTTGTTGGTCGTGTTGCCATGATTGGTTTTGCGGTCAGCTCTCTTTTTCTTTTCTTTTTTTTTTCGGGTCATTCTGTTGAGGTTTGTAACCGTTATAGGATTATGTAACCATTGGAGATAGTTGATCTAACGGTTATCATGTGGCTCCAATATGCAGATTTTTACATATATAGCTGTGACAAAAAAACTATAACTGAGATTAAATTTGCGCAAATTATTCTTAAACTAATTGCAAAAAGCAGCTAGCAAGTGTTTGAACTTAGACCAAAATCAATCTATACTTTTTCTCCAAGAACATGAGATTAATTAAGAGCAATTATTATTATTATTATTATTGTTATTATTATTATTATTATTATTATTATTATTATTATTATTATTATTATTATTATTATTATTATTTATTTTTGCAGGCATCCTTGTTAGGAGAGGCAATTACTGGAAAGGGTATATTGTCACAATTGAATTTAGAAACTGGAATCCCAATTTATGAAGCTGAGCCACTTCTCCTATTTTTCATCCTTTTCAATCTTCTTGGAGCCATTGGAGCTTTAGGGGATCGTGGCCGATTTGTAGACGACTCAACCGGACTTGAAAAGGCGGTTATAGCCCCCGGCAAAGGTTTCCGCTCGGCTCTGGGCCTTGGAGAAGGAGGTAATTTCACCAATTTTGGGAAAATTTTGAGATTTAAGCCTGTAGTCGATACCAAAATTAGAAATAATCTGGTGGTTGCGTTGATTTTACAAACCACAGAGTAATTACAAAACAGCCTAAGCCTAGCTTAGGCTGTTTTGTAATCCGCTCGGCTTTTGCCAATGGAAAGACCAAAAATTAGGTTTTTTTTTGCAGTTACAGAGTATTTTGTAAAGCCAATGAGACTATTTCTCAATTAGGTGTCGGTTATAGAATAAATCTCCAATTTTTCCACCAATTTTGTTATGCACTAAGTCTCATCAATAGTCCTCTTCAACTAGGTCGGACATTATCCATCAATAGTCCTAAAAAATAAATACATTTTGAACATATGTCAATCAATGATCAAAATTGAAATAGGTTTACCAACATTCACAAATTCAAAAGTTTACTGCAATAAAATCTTAACATATGCATGACACATTTGACAATTTTCCCTCTCACACTAAGGACTCGTTTATATTGGAGTTACATAGCCTAACATTCGAAAAAAAAAAAACTTGAACATACCACAGGCCCTTTGTTCGGGTTCACAAAGGCGAACGAGCTATTTGTTGGGAGATTGGCACAACTCGGGATCGCATTCTCCATCATCGGTGAAATTGTCACCGGAAAGGGCGCTCTGGCGCAGCTAAACATAGAAACCGGAGTTCCTATCAATGAAATCGAACCCCTTCTGTTGTTCAATGTGGCTTTCTTCTTCTTTGCCGCCATAAATCCCGGTACCGGAAAATTTGTCACCGACGATGAAGAGGACTAAATTGATGAAGAATGTAAATGAATAAATTATTCTAGTTCGCTATTTTGCTTATTTATTGTAGGTGCAACTTATTTCGTAGTTTCTTATGAGAGAGAATTCTATATATGTAAAATGTTGTTCTCGGATCATTAAAATGCATCCCAAGAATATACAGCCTAAGTGGCAGGTTCGCACGGTTAGTTACATGCTTCGATGTGAGCCTAATCAGTTATGTATGCCAAGTAATATCATATGTTCATGTAGGCATGGATATTTCAACAATCTATTGACTTGTTTTTTGATTTTCTTAAGGTTTGTTCAATCACACCTCAATTATATGTCTATTTCAATAAACATATAACAGTTCTTGATTTCCATAAGTAACTGTGTTCAGACAGAGCACAGAAGAAAGAAGCTAGTTTGTCTTTATAATCAGCACTGATGATGTCAAGTGAAATCCATCCAAACCCAGAAAATATTTAAAGCCATCAACACTAAAACAGAGTAAGTTATCAGGCCCATCTGCTACTTACATTGCTCTGCACCTTTTTCGAGCTCAACTCTTATGAACTCAGAACACGTGCCGGCGCATAATGCATTTCGAAAAGAATTGGTTTAAAACACGGTGATGAGGTAAAACTGACCTATTTGATAAGAGGGCAGGAATCAGATAACGACACTTCGGCAAAAAAGTTTTGTATCGAGCTAACACAAAAACAATGCATTTCCCATCAGGGAATCAGACAAGAAAGACACTATAGAAAAAGTCTTATCGAGCTAACACAAAAACAATGTGTATACCATTAGGGGTATTGCAACTCAACTTTTGAGTTTTATGTTCAACTTAAGTGATTCAAGTGACTCACTTGTCTATTAAGAATTAGAGAATGCATCTCGATTAACATGGTCTACCTATTCAAGCAATTAACATTGATGTACAGAAATAGCTCGGCACATTGGTCTGAGAGAGAGTAGCTCGGTTACGGCCAGGCTAGGAGAACTCCGTAGTTAAGTTAGAGACGAGATGTTCGGCCAAGTAGCTTGGATACGAGTTTAAAGTGCCAAGACAGAACAGACACGACATGGAGGTACCGACTTCCAGGAGCCCGGTGAAATAGCCGACATCGGTGTACATCAAGGTCGGGTGGTCTGGTGACATGTTAGGCCTAAAGATGAGGTCGGATCAAACCTCATGACAAGGTCAGAGACGTCATGGGAGGTCAGACTTATGACCTAAAGATCCCCGGGCGAAAACAGTAAAAGAGGGAAGAATCCAAGTAAGAAGAAAATAATGACTCTCTTTAGGACTCTTGTCAAGATAGAGACGTGGTAAGTTAGAGAAGTAGAATCCCGGTGGATTTCATCCCTAACAAAAATTCTCTTCATCCAAAGTATTAAGTTCTTTTATAGTTTTATCATATACTTTTGTTACCACATTTGTCCGAAGGCGCTTCGGGCAACTGTGGTAACTGGGCTTCTGGCAAATTTGGTAACAAAAGTATATGATAATTGTCATATTGGTTATTGAATTGATTAATTGCTTAGTTCTATATTCTCACTAAGTTGTTGATGTTTACCTTTCATTTTACAAACTTCAGGTGACGAGTAGACGCCGATTACGGGAAATGCGTGGTGGTCGTCTCTTTTCTATTATTTTATGTTAATTTGAGTGTTGATGCCAATATTTTAAATATCGTACCGTCTCGGTCGGTAATACCGGATACCGGTGATCCTATCGGTACGGTTACACTCTAAACACCGTTTTACCAAAAATACCAGTTTATACAAGTTTCTTACTGGAAAATACCGGTTTTACCAACAAATACCGGTTTATGCTATTTTTTTTTTAATTAAAATATATTTATTAATTTATTATATAAAAGTTTTACACTTTATTTAATATGTTTACATCGTTATTAGATGTTAACTAATTTTAGTATTAATGAAAGTTAGTTTTGAATATTATTTATATTATAATAATAAATTAATTTAATATTCATTAAAACTGGTAAAATGGAAGTTAAAACCAGTTGAACCGCGTACCGTTGGCTCGTCCAGTATGGAAACACTGGTTGATTTATGTTTCACACTTGGGATTTATTTCAGTTGAGGATATGACTTATGGTTTGATGTTACTTTTGCTTTGATCACTTGATTATTACTAGATGTGAAAATTTGAGAAGATTATTGAAAGCACGAGTGTCTTGAGTTACCGTTGATAAGTTTCATGTTTTTTTATGTTCCAAATTCTAAGTAAATACACGGGTGTTGTACTAGTAATTTATAAAATCAAAATTTAACGCCTTAGAATTTCATACTAAAGATTAGAGGGCGCCACACATATGAATGCATTTATATTTATAACTATTAATATAAAAAGGGACTAAAATTTTACCTTAAATTGTGAGGAAAATTCCATCCTAAAAATTTTATTTGTATAAATATAGGAATTTAAATATATTTTTTATTTTGCCGCGTTTAAAATATGATAAATAAATTTAAAAAATAATTATAAATTTAAAAATCTAATTATAATTGATAATAATTTCAAATTTAAAATATGATAATAGAGTTTGCAGCACATCTGTGAATATCTATTTAGAAAAGAAATATTAAGTATAATGTACATGGTATACGTAAATATGTAGGTTATGTTTTTTTTAAAAAAAAAAATTCATCATATCCATGTGAATTATCCATTTGTTCAATTCCACGCGGAGGTGAAGGGTTTTTTTTTTTTTT